CCCCTTTTGGGTTTTATTCGTGCCGTTAGAAATGGCTAGGCTGTTTACTTTTCACACGTACCCGGGGATCAGGGTATAGGAAGGATTGAATCTTATTGAAGCTTTATAGGAACAATGTCCAAAATGCGGAGAGCAGTGAAATTCCGTTCTTCAAGGTTTAGTGATTGGATTTGTATCTTGTATTTGACCACTTTCTTTTGCGTCAAATAATGAACTATTGTTTGTCGCAATATGAGTGCTAGTTGTCAAAAGTCTCAGACGCCATATGCTTGCCTCCTCCTGTCTGTTTGAACTGAAGCATCGAGCTGGGAGATGCGCTTTAATCCACTTTGCATCAAAATTTTGATAAGTTCGTATTTTACGTTGCATTTCATTGTAGACGCAGTAGTTCTTGGAACGAGGGAGATCCCATTCTTACTCTTTATTTTGAGGCGAAGTAGGCTCTTTCCCAACTGATTGCCTTTGGTTTGACAAGTTACTGCAGCTGTGCAATCGAATCCAACATTGCAGGCATATAGGTGTGCGGTAAAAAGTTAGGAATATGGCATAAAGCATTGTACTACATTCCACTAGAGTGCTAACATTCGTTACCCTTTAGAGGCAGTCAGTCCCAAAGTTTGTTCGACTGCACTCTGTATTTCTTAAAGGAAATAAAAACGCTCAGACGCGGTAATGCTCCCTTTTGTGACATTTTAGACCTTTTTTTTCCGTTCATTTCCTCTGCAGGCGTGTTAATGCCAACTGAGGGAGAAAAATTTTTAAGTACGTAAAGGAGGTTTGTGGAGTTTAAATCATTGGGTATCGGAGCATGTGCTTCAAATGTGGAGTTGGAGATGTAGTAGTTATGACCGCATTTTTGATTTTGAAGCTCCGCTTAGCAGGCATAATTAATGCATTTTCGGGGTCTTGTTAACTTCGCTGGTTTCTCTTTAATATCTTCCAAGCAAGACGTAGAATGCTGACTTCGGAGACAAATGTGGCATGATCCTTCAAAGCCTGCAAATATCATTACAACTTGCCAGAAATGACGCCAAAAATGACTTGCAGAATGACGCTTTTGTAGGCATTCGTGTGAGGCCAAAAGAGCTTTGGCAAATGGTCTACTTCAGGATCTCTGTTGCCAGCATCTACAAATGATGTGTGATTTCGTTCTACCTCCTCCCCCTCTCTCTCCCTCCCCCCCTCCACACCCCCCGATTACTGCTGGTTCGTCCGACTTATGGCAATCCAAGTGCTAACATAATGGCTTGACCGTTCAGTAAATGGTTAACTGTGAAAGTATGCATTTAATTTGCCTTTTATCACGATATCAAGATGACGAACATAAAGCAACTCTCGCATCCCTGTATTTCCTGTGCTGTCAGGTAGTCAATCAGTTCATCTTGAAAAACCCTTAGTACGAAGACTTTGATCTCTAAGTGTTGAGGAATTTAGTGAATAAACCTTGAATTCTTAACTTACTTCAGGCATTATGTTTTTGAGGAATCTGTTTTATGATGTTTTATAATGATTACACTAATTGGCTAACCACATTCTAGCGGAACTGCCTCCAGCAATGACTCTACCACGTCTGTGCCCCCAAATTTTCCGCCTTCAGCCCGAGACAGCCGTCTGATGCAAACTGGTCACCTCGCCGTGAAGTCTACGTCTAATAGCTCTGCATCGCAAAACAATGGCTGCACTTTATTGTCCACAAATTCCGCTCTTTTTTACCGGACCACCGAGAACGTGTTCACTCAACCGTCGTCAGGTCTCGCAAACGTCCACTATGACCACCGTTTGAGCATCGGGGACAACATGACCTATTCGGAAGTTAACTCTACCACAGACATGAGAGAAGCTGACAACGAAGAAGATGAAGAGACCGATTTCGACGATGTTCATAGCTGTTCTGTCTACGGGCCGACCTCATCCATCGGTACGCCAAATCTTTCTCGTCCAGTGATCCTGTGTCAGTCACGAGCTGCAACGGCGGTCCACCATTCATCTGCGCCCGAATCGCCAAAGCTTCTTGCATAGGTCTACTCCTCTCCTTGGGTGCATGTGCGTGGTCGTGAATAAGCATTTATTGTCCCTCTCCATACCTGTCTCAATTTTTCCGTGTTTGTGCTTTGCCCCCTCTAATTTCGTTCTTGTACACTGTTATGAAGATTATGTTTGATTAAAGGCAAAGTTATGATACATCTCAAGTTGTGAACTTTGTTTACATCGAATTCAAGTCTTCTGAGTATTTCAGCATGGTAGGGCATCATTTTAGACAAAATACGACTTACTAAATTGTTATTTTCTAATGAGTATTACTTTTTTACTTCTTTTCTAACTTATATTAGGTCGAGTGAGTTATTTCTTCAGGAATTAAACATTTGCCAAAACAAACCTGCATGAAA